AAAGAAAGAAAGAAAGAAAGAAAGAAAGAAAGAAAGAAAGAAAGAAAAAAAGAAAGAAGTCAGATAAAAGAGGCCAGAGTCTGGGTCAAGAAAGTAAGATGAGTAAATTACAAGCCCCTCTCTGGTTCACATGAATATAAAGAGAGGAAGGAAATACATTCAAACATGCACGTTTCTGTTACTATAACTTTGCAATAGTGTAAAAGTCGTGTTGACATACATGCATTAGTTCCCTACTGTGATCCACCTAAACAGGTAACCTCAGGGACCCATACATTTCTTTAAGATAAAGGTAAAGGATTCCCCTGTCCAGTCATGTTTGACATCTCTGTTCTTAGCCGAGGGAGCCAGCACTGTCTGAAGACATTTACATGGTCATATGGCCAACATGATTATATCCTGAGGCACACAGAACCTTTCCACCAAAGTGGTATTTATCTACTTGCATTTGCAGGCTTTCGAACTGCTAGGTGGGCAGGAGCTGGAGCAAGGAATGGGAACTCACCCCGTTGTGTGGCACTTGGGTCTCGAACCCGGGCTGCAGCTGATAAGTTCAGCATCTTTAACACCTGGAGCCCTCGTAACCCTCTGTGAGGATTTAATCACTATAATCAGGGGTAGGTTGCTGGGGGCTTGCAGGGGCTCAGGAGAGCCCCTAGCTAAGACTCTGCGGGGTTCGGAGGTCAGAAAGACAAGCAGCAAGGCTTAATAGGCTTAATTGAACTTCTGGGCATTCAGCCAAGAGCATTTCACACCTTGCAAAAGTGTTGCAAGCTAGATAAACAACCCACTCAGCGCTTGTGAGGGAGGGCCATTGAGAAAATCAGATAGCATAGCCACTAGCCTCAGAGGGATTAATTCCCAAATAATAAGAATCAAGTAACTCACCAGAAACTCCACTAAGACTCCAAGATCCCTCTCACAGTCACTGCTATTAAACCTGGTTCCACCCAGTCTTTTATTCAATGCACGAAATAATAAACAACTTTTTGGTATATATAGTTTTTTAGGTAATTAGGGCAAAGAAGCGACATCGGGTTAGCCACGCCCACCCAGTCACATGACCACCCAGTCACGTGACCACCTGATCACATGATCACCCAGCCACACCCACCCAGCCCATCATTAGGGCAGAGAGCCCCTTGCTAAAAAATTTGAAGCCCACCCCTGACTAAGATTGTGGTCAAACTGGAAGGAAGCTAAAGCTCACACCGAACAAAATAAATGATACTGCAGTTTTCCCTCTGAGACAATTTAGCAGAAGAACATTTCTACCATACGAAGCCATTCAGGAGTTAATCTGATTTCTAACCAGGGTGACATACCTGAATGTCCTCCGAGGTTTAGACCTACATCTCTCACCGGGAGATCTTCCGATGTTTCATCAGCTGCAGCGAACATGGCTGAGGTTTAAAACGGGACGGTGCTACGAATCTCCTGCTCTGTTTGTGAAACAAATAACACAGAGAACAGGGCAAATTCCATTAAATTGCTTAAGGAGAATATCTGTAACTAGGGTTGAAATGAATGGTCCTCGGTCTCCGTGGTTTTTTGGGAAGAACAAAAGGATGGAAATTAAGGATAAAGAGGAAACAGAGTATTATTTAACATGGGCTCCATTGTACAAATGGTGAGAAAACAGATGCAGAGATGAGTAAGTCTATAATGGAAAAAGATGAACAAAATAGAAGTAAATACATATCTATATATATAAAAGTGAAATGCCACTCACGCATCATCTCAAAATCTCCAAAACCGTAAAACCCACAAACTTGAAATTTGGCACGTATGTTCCTTTTGGCTTCTAGGCACTCACTAAGAAAGGATTTTTCAAAATGACCATCAGAGCACTAGCATTTCCTATATTATTATTAACACGCTCTGATGCTAAGGAGTTCTACTCCCCCTCCCACCTGAAAAGAAATCTCTTCCAAATGCAAAACACAAGCAGAGGAGGTTCAGTTTCAGAGGCACCAAGCAGCTTTAGCACAGAACAGTTGAGCTAAGCCACGCCTAGGCTCCTTGCTGTCTCCTTCTTGCTCACACAAATACTGTTTCAGTTTCCAAACAGCCTTCAACTCTCTCATACACTGACAGGACGTTAGCCAGATGAATACCAATGGATGTTGGTAGGCCGAGGCAGAATTTTTTTTCCTTATTTTCCTCCCCAAAAACTAAGCCCAATCACATAGTTTTGTAGCGAAGCACGGGTATTGAGCTAGTACACACACACACACACATACACGTATGTATGTATGTATGTATGTATGTATGTATGTATGTATGTATGTA